TGAACTTAGCCAAATTTTCAGATTCTGGACTTAGCCAAATTTTCCAGATTCTGAAGTTTTTCCAAAAGTGACTACTTCCAATTTCAAGCTTTTTCATATTCATTTTAAATTGTCGGATGTTACAGTTCAAAATGAAAGACCTTGGTAATCCTAAGTATTTTCTGGGCATTGAAGTCATGAGGTCTAAACCAAGCATACTTCTCAATCAGAGAAAGTATGCCCTTGAACTTATATCAGACACTGGTCTGAGTGGTGCCAAGTTAGTGAGCACACCATTGGAAGCAAATGTCAAACTTACAACAGTAGAATATGATAAGTTAACTGGGACTACTAATGATCCTGTGTACAAGGATGTCACAGCTTATCAAAGGATGGTTGGTAGATTATTATATCTTACCATTACCAGGCCTGACATTAGTTTTGCAGTTCAGGTTTTATCACAATTCATGCAAAGGCCTAAACTCTCACATTGGGAAACAGCTCTGAGGTTAGTCAGGTACATCAAGAATTGTCATGGTCAAGGAATATTGTTGAGTAGTACAAAAAGCTTGGAACTTGAAGCATTTTGCGACTCAGATTGGGCAGCATGTCCAAACACAAGAAGGTTTGTGACAGGTTATATGGTTAAACTAGAGGATTCACTGATTTCCTGGAAGTCAAAAAAGCAGCACACAGTGAGTAGAAGTTCTGCAGAGGCTGAGTACAGGAGTATGGCTGGTGCAGTAGCAGATTCTGTCTTCACTTTCACTGTCTGAGAATAGATAGTTTCCACCTTATTAGCTCCACATAGGCAGCATTGGTCATCTTCAACTAGTATTTGCAACCTATACATCCTCTCTTTCGTTAGCAGCTTTCCTTGATTTGCTAGTCATACAATAAATCTATGTTTAAGCAACATGAGTGAGTTCCATACTAAGTCTGCTACATATAATCGCAGTTATCTTCCAAGCAATTGATTGTAGCTACCACTCACATTACATGATCAATCGACAGATAACTTATAGGCATCATTAGTATACCACCCTCTCATGGTTGATTTGATGGAGTTAAGCTTCCTCCAATACCAGCTACTGTCCTCAGATGGTATATGTGTCCAAAAATCTTGCTCACCTTTCATATACATTCCATGCACCCATCGTATCCATAGTGAATCTGCCTTGCAAGCCAACTGCCATATCAACTTTTCAATTGATGCTATATTTCATAGTTTGTGAATATACAAATTTTGTATTTATACATTTAAGAAATTTTCAGAACTTCGTTTGTATATTTGGCTTGTCAATATACAAACAGGTTAATTTATTATGAATGTTTCATAAATCGTATACTAATAGCTAGGGTAAGCTTACACAAAATTTTGGATTTATACAATCAGAAACCGAGTTATACAAATTCTAGATTTATACAAATCAGGAGAATAACAAGAATTGGAGAAACTGTAGCCGCAAATTACAATTTTCATAAATTGTAGCTATATTACCTAATATAAACTAAATGTTTGCTATTCTATATAATTTTCCCTAAAAAATATTAGCTTTTAAGTAAAAAAAATAAAAAGTCAAACTTAAATGAGTTTTAAGTCGAAAAAATAAAAAATATGGGAGACACTTTTGGTTTTTAACTTTTTTTTTTAGGGATAATGGTCTGAAAAATACCTCAACTTTGGTCGGATTTGTTGTTGCGATACTAAACTTTCATAAGGACCTATTACCTCCCTAGACTATTTAATACCGTATTTTTTACCCCCTGAACTATCTAATAGTGTATTTTAAAGATATATATGTGTCCACGTGAGCACATTACTATTTATAATTTTACATTATTTTTTATGTCCACGTGGGCAAATATATATGTTTAAAATACGGTATTAAATAGTCTAGGGATGTAATAGGTCATCATGAAAGTTTAGTATCGCAATAACAAATCCGACCAAAGTTGAGGTATTTTTCAGACCCTTATCCCTTTTTTTTAAGTCATTTTTTAAAATTATTTTTAACCTTGCCAAATGCTTACAAAAAACTAAAATAACTTAAAATAGTTTTGACCATTTTTTAAGCCAATCCAAACCAGCTCTAAATCTCTAACTTATATGGAGTATGCAAGTCTACTCACATGTCACAAAACATCATTAGTCTCTCCTGGAACTTTTACCATATTTTCACTTTAAGTGATGATTTGCATTTGCATGTTCAACTCACTCGGTATATGTAAAAGAAAAAGGAAGTTCAGGCTCTTCCAGCTCCTTGAGGACACTTTTTTCACTTACATATCTACTATGCTTCATGCCTATCAGTGGCGGAGCCAGGAATTTCAGGAAGAGGGTTCAAAAATTAAACAATAAAAGCTCTTTATAAAAAGGAGAAAAAAATGTTGCAAGTGAGATTTGAGCACGCAAGCATTGACTCATTAAAGATGTCTAAATACACATTAAAGACATTTTAAACCACTAGGCTATAACAACCTATTATGTCAAGGGTGTCCAAAATATATTATTTAATCACTTTGTGTATCAATTTATTTGTATATGCGGTATTTTTTTCCGACGAAGAGTGTTCAATTGGACACTCTCACATACATGTGCCTACGCCCCTCGGGCTATTACAAGCATTATTTTTCCAAATTTTAGTTCTGGAACATATAACAAAACTAATGTACTGCTGAAGAAGAGGTTAGACTGTGAGTTAGACTCAAAATCTAATTTTACAATTCTATTAGTACTATGTTTTGACTTTTGAAAAGTGAAAATTCTTGTTTGATTTTGTAATAACAACTCGTATATAGTATTAACACGTTTTTAGTCCATTCTATATACATTAAAATCCATGTTTGCAAAGTTGTCTACAGTGTGAGAACGGTTCAAAAAGCTATATCTCCAGTTCAATTAATCTTCTTAGTACCAGAAACTATATCAAAGTGGGTAGATACATAAAGTAGAGTCAATATATTCTAATGTGTTGCTAAAGAGGGACCACAATTTTTTTTTAAAGGAGGGATACTGTTTGTTTTTTTAAAAAATTGTTGTAATAAAGCATTTAAAACAGGAGCAAATTACAAGGAGGTGTACTAGGAAAAATAATGGAGTTGGATTGTGTTGTAGCTATTTTAATTGTATTTTGTTGTTCTTTCATTACGCTTGTGGCGAGTGAAGAAAGTATCACGATGGGTAAATCAATCACTGGTAATGAGAAATTGATTTCAGCTGGTGGAAGTTTTGCCTTAGGCTTCTTCACTCCGCGTAATTCTACATTTACCTATCTAGGCATATGGTACAACACAATCCCCGAGCAAACGGTCATTTGGATTGCTAATAGAGAATCTCGAATTCCTCAGAATTCTACTGTTGTTTTCACTATTGGAGATGATGGGAATTTAGTGATTTTTGATGTAAAAGATCAACTTATTTGGTCATCAAATGTTTCATCCATAACTTCAAATTCTAGTGTGGCAGCACTGCTAGATAATGGAAATCTAGTGCTCAGACATGGTGAGTCTGATATATTGTGGCAGAGCTTTGATCATCCTACGGATACGTTTATGCCTGATATGAAACTTGGTTATAATAGAAAAACTGGACAACGAATTATGATCAATTCGTGGACAAGTAATGAAGATCCTCGGCCTGGAAATTTCTCATTTGGGATAGATCCTGAAGGGCGGACGCGTTTTTATATATTGAAGCAGAACAGTATTTATTTTAGGTTTGATGATAGTAATGAATACAGTGGAGGGAATATCGGAGGAATTGCTTGGTATATTTCTGTTGTTTCGGGAAATGATGGAGTTTTTGTTACGTATGGTTATACCAAAGGGTTGGTAACAGTAAGGATTGTTTTGCATCCTAATGGTTACATTCAGTTACTGGTATGGCGTCAAAATGCTAATAAGTGGATAGTTAAACTTCAGGCACCAGAATCTCTTTGTGAACGTTACGCGGAGTGTGGTCCATTTGGAAGCTGTGCGGTTAGATCAAGTGGATTATGCAGATGCTTAACTGGATTTGAACCAAGATTTTTGACAGATTGGGAGAACGGGAAATGGAATGATGGTTGTGTTAGAAAAGTAGCATTGAGTTGTGATGGAGGAGACATATTCTTGAAACATGAAGAGGGTATGAAGTTTCCGGATCATGCTATCTCCTTAGGACATATGAGCATTAAGGACTGTGAAACGCAGTGCATTAGGAACTGTTCTTGTTCAGCTTATGCTTATTCGAATAGCACCTGTTTAATTTGGTTTGGAGATTTACTGGACCTTTCCCACAACTTTCCTGGTGGCAGAGTTCTCAATGTTCGAGTTCGTGGCTCCGAGCCAGGTATTTTCACTTCTATCCTTACTAATTCTACTAACAAACGATTCTCTACACGTCTTTGGTCAAGAAAACTAAATTTATTTACTTTTTGTCTTCTGGATGCAGTTACTCATGGTGGATCTAGGAATTTGGCTCATAGACACAAAGTTGTCGTTGCAAGTATTGTTTCTGCAATATCTATCATCTTGGTTCTTATAAGTATTTTTTTCTTTATCTTCGAAAGAAAGCACTTGAGAAGACAAGGTATGTTTAGTGTACGTCTTAATTGTAAATACAAATACTGAATTCGAATTTCGTATGGGTTACACTGATTTGCTTTACTGATTGCTGTTTGAAATTAGGCTGGAAGAATGGAACTAAAGCTTTCATTAGGTCCGTGTCTGGTTTATATTCGGTTGAAAAAAGCGATATGAAGTTGCTGCAGTACAACTTTCAGCAAATAAGAGAGGCTACTAACAACTTTCATGGAGAACACAAACTTGGAGAAGGTGGATTTGGTCCTGTGTTTAAGGTGCTAAAACTAAATTCATTGTTGATATTTTACTGCTGCTACTTTGAGAGAGACATCATACGTCTCATTTTCGTTTCATGACTATGGTGGATGTGGATTTACATATTCTGTTTCAGGGGTTTTTAGCTGAATTCGGAGACGTAGCCATCAAAAGGCTAAGCAAGAGGTCATCACAAGGACTGGAGGAGTTTATGAATGAACTGAAGCTAATCGCGAAACTGCAGCATAAGAATCTTGTCAGCCTCTTAGGATGCTGTGTTGAAGGGGAGGAGAAAATACTAATCTATGAGTATATGTCCAATTGCAGCTTGGACAAATTTCTGTTTGGTTCGTCTTCTACTCCGTTTTAAGACTTCACATAACTTAAATTTTTACTCCTCTCAATTCCCTTTGGTTAATGAGATGTTCAAATGTCTTTTTAGACCCTTCGTTGAAGGTTACACTTGATTGGGTTACACGTTTGGGGATAATAGAAGGAATTGCTCAAGGAATGCTTTACTTGCATAAGTACTCGAGATTAAAAGTCATCCACAGGGACTTAAAAGCAAGCAACATTCTTCTAGATCAAGAGATGATCCCAAAAATATCAGACTTTGGAATGGCAAGGATTTTCGGGACTGATCAAACACAGGCCAATACAAATCGAGTCGTTGGTACATAGTAAGTAATAACCCCTTATGATTTGTGTTTTCCAAGCTTTACTAGCTTTTATGTCATTCCATCTTGTGGATATCTAATGGATACTTATTTATACAAATATGGCATAGTGGCTATATGTCTCCGGAATACGTAGTATATGGCCAATTTTCAGAGAAATCGGATGTTTTCAGCTTCGGAGTATTGCTGTTAGAAATCCTGAGTGGTGAACGTAACTCAGACTTTTTAATGACAGAAATTTCCGCGTCCCTCTTAGGATGGGTAAGAACACTCAAGACATTAGCTAATTCTGTTATCTTTCATTTCTTTTCGTATATTTTTTATTTATGGTGCAACTCATTTTGAACCTTTTTTAGGCCTGGAATAAGTGGAAAGAAGGAAAAATCTTGGAGTTAATTGATCCGTCCATAAGAGAAACCTGCGACAGTAACAAAGCAACAATATGTATTCTGGTTGCCCTTCTTTGTGTTCAAGAAATCCCTGTTGATCGACCAACAATGTCTGATGTATCTTTCATGTTAAGCAACGAAACAACGCCTATCCCTGAACCAAAAGAACCTGCTTTTCGTAGCAGCTGGCAATCTCAGCAGTTAAGTGATGTATCCATAAATCAGATGACGATTACCTTGCCTATACCGCGATGAAATGATTTAAGTTCTCCTACTTCTTGTGGTAAATTTTTCTTGTTAGCATAGAGCTGTCATAATTTATTTTTGTACAACTTGCATAAGTGTAGCTCTGGAAGAAATATAGACTAAATTTCTCTGTTTAATTGATGTTTTCATGTTTTTTTTTTCTGTTCCTACAGTGTATCAAATTTGTGAAAATGTTTTTTTTTTTTAAATGTATCTAGACTGATTTGCATGTATCTGATCTCAGATACATGGGAGAGTGGCGAGCGAGATGAGAGAGAGGCGAGCGAGATTTGCTATATATTCCAGATACATGCAAATTCACTTGGATACAATGTAACTAGAACAATTTACACCTAATTTGACTCCATGTATCCGAGATACATACATCTGGACTAATGAGATTTGCTCTAATTTATATATATTTTAGAGATGGATATCTTAAAATTTATTTTATACATATAGAGAGAGACACTAATGTGATCTTATGTTAGAATATTGTAACAAATTTGCTGGTGGCGCACTATGTGAACTCAATGGTTACAAATTTACAAGCTAACAAAATCACTAGTGGCGCACTAAATTAGGCCTTGAATAATTCAAGGTCCCAAAAATTATTCATATTAAATATAAATATACTATTCAAATAATCATTAGTACTTCTTGTTAGTAACAAATAAATCTTTCCAACCACTTGTTCTTAGTTTGTCATCAATCATTAATCATATAGTTTATTGATGCAACTATAGGTGAAAGTGGTAACCATTGAGGGGTCATATGGTAGTGAGTTATGGAAGTATTAAATTTTGCATAAATAACATTATGTTTGATAGTTGGTTAGGAGGTAAGTCTAAGAAAAAATGTATAAGTAAAAAGGATTTCTTCTGATCAATATACTCAATCAAATAAAAAAATACATCATTCTTTTTCAAATATATGTCGAGAATAAATTTTGCCGTTTTTGTAACAAATACTTCAAATTAAAGAAGTTTTTCAAACTAATATAATCTTACTTAAAATCAGCTACGTCTCAATAAAAGATACTCCTAAATGAATTGACTATATATATTATCCATGAAAAAAAAAGTATTAGAAAAATTAATTATAAAAAATTAGCAACTTGTTTAGGTATTTGTTTTGGAATGGAAGACAATCTGTTTTCTTCTTGAAATATATTTTCCTCTTTTATTTGAGTTAGAAACTTGGGAATTGCAAACAAGTTCATTCCTTTTTTGAAATATGTATTCCTTTTCTTTTATTTACGTTAGATTTTCAAAATTAAAAATAAAAATAAAAATAAAAATAAATCATTCCTATCATATTATCGGCCTTCTTCCACTGTGATTGTCAACTCAATTTTGGTGAAGCTAGGTGGTGTACCAGATGAAACAGAAGTTGAATTAGAAACATTTCTCCTTGACACAAAAGCAGGTTGATTAGGCTTTGGAAGAGACGTACTATCACTACGAAGCATCATTACAACATTTGACATGGAAGGACGATCACCTGGATCTTCTTGCACACATAACAGCCCAACGTTTATGCACGTCATTGCTTCTTTCGGGTTGCATGATTCGAGCAATGAATGATCCAACAAATGTAGTGCTCTTTTTTCTTTCCAGTAATTCCATGCCTGTGTGTGATATCATGATTTAGAATAATGAATATGAAATTCAACGAATACATTAGAAACAATTAACATGTACTCTAGGAACTCACATGGACCAAAAGGTTAGATGCTTCTTTAGATTGATAAAATCCTGTGTTTCTCCTTCCGGTTATTATCTCTAGTATTACCACTCCTAAGCTGAATACGTCTGACTTAATCGAGAATACTCCTTCCAATGCATATTCAGGAGACATATATCCGCTAAATCAACCGAATAATGATGGAATTATCACGAGTCAGCTGTGCGATGCAATTAAGCAAAGTTCATAACATTGTCATGTTTGTATTTACTTACCAAGTTCCAACCACTTTATTGGTATTTGCTTCTGTCGTATGCTCTTCAACTATCCTTGCCAAGCCAAAGTCTGAGATTTTTGGGTTCATTTCTTGATCCAAAAGAATGTTACTTGTTTTCAGATCTCTATGAATGATTCTGAGCCTTGAGTCTTCATGAAGATAGAGAAGCCCTCGAGAAATTCCTAATATGATCTCAAATCGCTTTTTCCATTTCAGTGACTTGCTAAGTGTTGGATCTTGTTTTGGTAACCATGGAGAAAATTTAGCAACATTGATCAAGTAAATAGAGAGATTAAGAAATAAGATAAGTTCAGATATGTATACTAACCGAATATGAAGGTGTCTAGACTTTTGTTTGACATATACTCGTAAAGTAGAATCTGTTCATACCCAGTGATACAGTAGCCTAAAAGTCTGACTAGATTTCTATGTTGAAGTTTCGAGATCAGTATGACTTCGTTCCTGAATTCTTCAATGCCCTGTCTAGATTGAGTTGATAGCCTTTTCACAGCAATTTCTTGTCCATCTGAAAATATACCCTGAAAGATTTTCGATGTGTAAACTAGGATGCTATGAAATGACTACATAAAGCGGAACTATTGAAGTGAAAAAATAGTGCTAACCTTATATACAGGACCAAAACCTCCTTGTCCAAGCTTATTTACATCTGAGAAATCATCTGTGGCTGCTAATATGTTTTCCAAACAAAAGAATGGAACGGCGATGTTTTGCTTATCATTTTCGTTAATCAGGTTTTGTGCTTCTTTTTCTCTGTTGAACCAATGTGGCACTGGATTGCCTCCTGTGCTTTGTTGGCTTGCTAAGATCAGAAAACAAGAGCAGCCTTTTGAGATATCTCTCTTTATCCGATTCATAGAGCAAAAAAAAGAAGTAGAATTGCAACGGCTGTAATAGCAACACAAACCTGTTTTCTTCGCCATCATTCTACTACAATAAATGTAGCTAAAGCTACATAGAAGTAGAATTGCAACGGCTACCACGCCAGATATGATAACTTTAAGCTTCAGGGAAAATTTCCCTGATTTTGCATCTGATGACAGAAAAGAAGAAGCATAAGAAAACTGTACAAGAAATAAACTTTTGTCCCTAAAAGCTAGCTTCATGATGTGATGATTGTCCGAGACCATATAAAAAGAACATCTCATCCCTAAAGAGACTATGTGGGAACTCAACATCGCTCATGCCTAGGCCTGCCAACTGGAGCGTGAACAATATGATGGGGCAGAATATCGGGTAAACAAAGAATCGGGATGGGTCTGATTCTAATAATGTGATAAGAAATGGACTCTTGAGGCTAACTCGACTATAAAATCTAGTTTATGAGTTAAGGACTGTCCGAAACCATGTGAAGAGACCATCCCATCCTTAAAGAGCCGATGTGGGAACTCAACAAACTGGTAATAGTTTATTGGCAAAAGGTCTTCAACTCATATTGGCTAGTTGTAACTAATGAAAACATGAAAACCATACATTCGGTCAGTGACTATCTTATGTGTGTTTATAACATAGAGGGTGTTGCGTAAACTTATATTTAGTCAGTGACTATCTGATGTTTGTTTAAAACGTAAGGTCTGTTTATGTGAAGTTATAATTGCCTATTTAATTCTTGTGAACACTAAGATTTAGAGAACTCGTAATGTTGAAGTCCATGAGGTAAAGAACTGAAGAAACATTAGACAAGAAAAAACAAACATCCATAGAAAGCTGTCAGTAACTATTTGGAGATGAGCATTGCATACATAGAAATGACAAACACTATCAAATACAACTCCTAACTTTAAACTTACCTTCACCGTATGCTTCGTCAGAGACAGCAAGTCTGGTATAAATCACACTTCCACTACCATCTCCTAGTGAGAGTTGCTTCAGATTCACAACTTCATTCCAAATTGAACACACATTATTATCATAAGCATATGCATTACATGAGGAACAGTTACTCAAGCAAGTAGAATGGCATTCCTCAGCACTAGCAGCCGGAACAGATATGGAATATTCGGGCAAAGTCACGTTGGGATTCATCAAAAACCTGCCCTTTTTACCATCACCACACTGCAAGCTTTCCTTCCTTACACAGCCACCGGAATGATCATTCAAGTCCCATTCTGTATTGGATTTAGGTGTGAAACCAGTCAAGCAATTACAGAAGGTCGTGGACTCCTTATTGCAAATGCTAAAGGCACCACAACTAGCATACACCTCGCACGGTTGTCTTGGTTGAGATGTAAAAATTTGCCATTCCATTAAATTTTCCGCCCAAATCAGATGCCTGATTTGCCCAGAGACATCTAGTGTTAATCTAATTTTGGAAGAGTTACGAAGGGAATACATAAAATAGCTCTCATTTTCATTATCAACATATGTAAAGCTGTATCTATCAGAATTCAAACTCATCTCAGGCATCAAGCTGAGAATACGCCCATTCCAAGATCCAGAAGCTGAGTACAGCTCAGTCCTGTTCCACTTTATCAAGAACTGCTTATTACTCTGATCCATCTCCACGGAAAAAATCCCCGGAGAAGGATCCTCTGAGTTCTTCCAAGAAGTAAGCATCTTCGTTGTATTCGTACGCTTGTCATACTTCACCTTAGCATTCGGTAACCATGTATCAGTCGGGTTATCAAAGCTTTGCCAAAGTGGTGTAGTTGAATTTGATCCATCACTCAAAATCAAATTACCATCATCAGAAAGAATTGCCACTAGTGTATTTGAACTAATTGTGTTGCTGATATTTGTTGACCAAAACAAGTTTTTGGATTCAGTAATAAGCACTAAATTACCATCCAAAACTTTCAACTCAACAGAATTCATATCAGTAGCAGAAAGTGGCTTCTCCCTGTTTGCTACCCATACTATTGTTTGTGTAATTACATTCTTATACCATATACCAAGATAATAATTTTTCGAACTACCAGGTTTAAAGAATCCTAATTCAAAGTTTTCGCCTGAAGAGACGATACTTTGATTTCCAGAAACAGAGTGATTTACTGAGATCATTTCAACTCCAAGAGACTGATGAATACTG